ATGGCTACCCTGTGAACATAACAACAAAACCAATACATTTTATTAATTTTCTAAATTTGACATTATAAATTATAAGTTGGAACTAATTAAAAACTAATTATTCTAACCTGTAAAGAAAGAATGAAGTTGGAAATCAATGAGCCAATAGAGCAAACTTCACACAACGTAACAATTGTATGACAAGCCTCCTGTCCTTCAGACCCCCCCCCCCCCCCCACATCAAATGCCTCATAAGCCGTGCCATAAGAATTTTCAAAAATTTTAGAGAAATTTCCGGGTTTTTATCAGGCAACTCAATAAATTCATCATCCAGCTCTGCATTGTCATCATCTATAAAATCATAATCCATGAATATTTTTCCAGCAAGGGTTTTTAAAGCATCCCCACAAACAGAAGGCCATCCAGATGCTGTGTAAGTTTCTGTTTGTAGACCTGAAAAACATCGCATGTAGTTTGATTTTACAGAATTTAGTCGCAGTTTTTTTTTGCCTTCTTCAATAATGTTGTCAACATTTGGAACTTTAAACTCTTTCTCCATTGGAAGAGATTGAGTTTGATCTTTGCTGCATAACAAATTAAATTATGCTAATAATGAAAATCAAAGGCTAACAATTTTTGTCAACATTGAACAAAAAGCTAAATATTCATAAATGTTCTACCTGTTCTCAATGCCACCAAAAAAGAGCTGGCGTAACTGTGTATCACTTCCAACATTCATAAACTTAGCATCTGCACACAACTTTGATGCCCAGTTTTTAAATCTATCATCATCAATATGATGTTCCACTTTTGCCACTTTCTCAATTTCCATCAAATAATCCCTATCAACCAGCATCCCTTCGGTTTCCATTTTCACCAAAAGCTCCCCACAAGGACGCCAATATTGTTCATAGAAATCAAACAATGTCCCCTTTGTAACCCCATTAAACTTCCACTCCCTATTCGGTAGTTTACTTTTCAATCTCTCATAAAGCTTGAGAGCACTTATCGAATCTAAAGCTGAGTAACAAACCCATGGTTCCCGTTCTACCCTTTGAAGCTCTAACAGGTGGAATAATGACGACTTTACCCTCCTTAAATGGAATAGAAGGATATGGATTAGGGTTCTTACCAGAGAGTTTGAGAGAAGAGATGGCGATGGGTTCTTCCACAAGCAATGCCTATTAATCGACTGAGATAAGAGATGATATATAAAGAGACAGAAGAGAGTAATTAGAGACAAAAGAGATCGAAGTGAGCAATTAGAGAGACATAGAGATTTAGGAGAAACGATGACAAATGGTATGCAGATGAAATTAGGGTTTTCCACATTTAGATATAGGGAGAAGGTACTACCGTCAGTTACGATCAAAGGAGTATGTGCACACGCTTTCATTATGCTTAATAGGATTGTACATGATGTTATAAAAGGTATACCTCTTAATTTTCAAGAAATAGGCAATATGCTTAATAATATAGTAAATATATATATATATATATATATATATATATATATATATATATATTATATATATATATATATATATATATAAGAGAGAGAGAGAGAGAGAGGAAGGATCATTTGAGAACTCAAAGTTTCCCGAGAACCCGAGAACTAAAGGTGGAACGTTGGATCAAAAAAAGGAAGGGTCGAGATGCAAGGTGGCGTTTTTGTAAATAAGTAGACAAAAAAAGAAGGAGGGGTATCTTAATTAATTCAGTTAGGGGTATTATAGGAATAAAATTATAATTAAATGATTTATTAAATCTAATATCTGATAAAATAAATTTTCATCTCTCTCTCTCTCTCTCTCTCTCTCTCTATCCTACCTGTTTTCCTCTCTCGCTCAAACCTACGATCCATCCTCCGACGACTCACCTCCGTCGAATAGCCTCCAACCTCCTCCATCATCCGTCGTCGATCGCCTCCCTCTTCCATTCACCGGCCACCTCTACCTCTGTCGACCGCCACACTCCTTGATCTCACGTTCTTCATAGAAAAAACTCCACTGAAGATGCTTTGATTTTGAATCGGTTTGTCCGCCATTATTGCACATCCGTTCTCCCTTGTTTCTCTATCATCATCGGACTACTCCATTATGATCGAGATCTCTCTTCTTCCCCTGTCGTTGCGCCAACTACTGATTAGATAACAGAAGGAGAAAAGGATAAGTGTTCTTCATTTATTCTCATATTTGTAACTACCGTTGCTTGTTTTCTATTTTCTTTCTCTAATCTTGAATTATTGTATTAGTTTCCTTCACCTTGATGTATTTTCAACCGTTCAGAGTTGGAAAATATCTTTTGTTTGTTTTTAGCACACAACGTGTTTGTTGAAATGCTTCAAATAATGTTTTCACCATTTACCTTTGTTAATTGTGCTTCTGTATTGGTAATTTCATCCCATTGACTATGGTTCTTGTGACCTGCCACCTGAGGATATTTCCAAACCAAATGATTGGCAAGATTTTGTTGACCAGCTATCACTAAAGATGATGCTACAATGCCAAATTAGGGAAATATTTGTTAACTATTAGAAGTTAACTTGGAAATCCACATTTACTTTCTCTGTTAAGTCATGCTTTATGTCATAAGTAAAGAAGAAGTGGTTTGTAAGATAATTTTGATATGTTCTTATCTTAATTGTAGTTACATGCCTATTTTTGGATTTGGTGGGGCTCTTTTAGAGTTTTTCACATTGGTAGCAACACTCATATTATATTAAAAAAAACCAATAGATTTCTTACTTGTATTCATCTTGATTTCTAGGTGTGTATCAAAATGGACACAGAACAGGAGTCTGAATGGAATGCAGCACATAGTATCTTTATCAGTGAAGATCTTTTAATTGTGCTAAGCTTTAGCTGCAATTTCTTGCAGTTGTAGACATAAACTGTTGGCTTTATCAAGGCCAGACATTGCAATGGGCAATCTATAGGTAACTCAACTGATTATTACTTTTTTAGTAACAAAAACTTATAATTTAATGAAAAAAACTAATTTCAGGTACAATGCATGTTGGCTTCCATTTCTTGCTAAATATTCAGAGTCTAAAATCACTGAAGGACCTTTAGTTGTTCCTCTTGATTGTGAATGGATTTGGAATTGTCACAGACTTAATCTGGTATATGATTATGAAACAAATACTCATTTTTCCAATGATAATTTCTGTAAAAACCTTTATGTTCTTGATATATTTTTTTACAGGTTAGATACAAATCAGATTATGAAAAATTCTATGGAAGTATTCTTGACAACTCTAATGTTGTCTCTTCTATTAATCAAAGAACATCAAGAAAGGAAACAAAAGAAACATGGAACAAATTATACCCTAATGAACCCTATGAGTATGACATGTCACGTGCTTCCTCAAGTGAATTTTCAGAAACTTTATATAATGGAGGAACTCAAAGATTTTCTAAATATGATTTTGTTTTAGTTGTTGAAAGACAAAGCCCATTCTTTTACCAGGTAAACCTTAAAACCAACTAAAGATTACTATAAAAGGTTAAAAATAACTTTTTTTTGCAGAATTGTTTGAAACCCTACTCTTTGTGACAGGTGTCAATGCCTTATTTCAAGAAAGATCTATTCCTTCAAGATACACTTATAATCTCATGATTTGGGGGTTTTCCTTTCTTCAAGAGTAGAAACTACAAACAGATTCATTGAATGTATGTGTGATGTGTCACAAATATCATTCAGATTTTTCCATTTAGGTTCCTATCAAGCTATAGTCGTGAGAGCTTTCTACAATTGCAGATTTCTTGGATTTCAGGTAATTCTTACATAATATCAAAAAATTTATATAGAAAAATGATGATGAATAAAAAGATTTACATGTGAATCACTTGTGACACATGTGAATCATTTGTGATTTACATGTGAATCACATGTAAATCATGTGAATTAATTATTTTTTTCTAACCATATAGTTTATTTTAATTGCTTTTATATTAAGCTTCATAAATCACTTGTGATTTACATGTGAATCACTTGTGATTTACATGTGAATCACATGTAATTCACATGTAAATCATATTAATTATTTATTTTTTCTAACCATATAGTTTATTTTAATTTGTTTATTATTTAGCAATATATCACAAGTGAATCACATATGAGTTACATGTGATTCACATGTAAATCAATCATGAATCATTAAAAAGTTCAAAGTAATCACAAGTGATTCACATATAAATTACATGTGATTCACATGTAAATCACATGTATAATCATGTAATCACATGTAAATCACAAGTGAATCACATATGAGTTACATGTGATATATATGTAATTTACATATAAATCACATGTAATTCACAAGTGATTCACATATGAATTACATGTGACACATGTAATTCACAGTAAATCACAAGTGAATCACATATGAATTACATGTGATTCACATGTAATTCGCATACTAACCACATGTAAGTCACAAGTAAATTTCATATGAATTACATGTGATTCGCATATAAATCATTAGTGAACCACATATAAATTACGTCTATATGAACACATGTATTTTTGTGAGTTTTCTTGCATTAATCATTTTTTTTTTCTTGTAGATTTGGAAGAATTTGTGGAAAACTTTGAGGAGATGAAAAATGATAAATTAAAGAAAATATGGAACACGAAGACATAAAAACGCTTTGAAATTTTGTTGTATTTTTTGGTTTTTTTATATTTTATTTTGTATCGAATAAATACTCGTATTATTTGTATTTATTATATTAAAGCTAATGGATTTTTTTTATCTGTTTACTTACGATATTAAGGGTAATAGAGATATATATCCACTTGAAAAATAGACATAGCTGCAGCTAAACGGATTTTTTTTGTTAAAAAATTAGAGTATTTTTTTAAATATTCCAGTTTTTTTTTAAATTTATTGATTTTTAAAAATTTACTTTTTAAAAAAAATTGCAGCTTTTTTGAAAAAATTACAGTTTTTTTTCTTAAATACAATTTTTTTTAAGAAAATTACAGTTTTTTTGAAAAAATTGCAGTTTTGTTTTTGAACAAAATGCATTTTTTTTTTAAAAAAAATGCAATTTTTTTTAAATTGCAGTTTTTTAAAAAAAATATTTTTTTTCAATTAAAAAATAAAAAAATCTCCATTTTTTTTAAAAAGTCGAAAATTATTTTTTTTAAAAAAAAATCCGAAATTTGATTTATTATGTTAATTTTTAGAACTTTTATTAATATTTCCATAAGAAAAAGAAATTAAACATTAATTAGATCGGTAAGATGACGATCATGCCCTTAATGAATTAATTTTGATCTAACGTTACACCTTTAGTTCTCAGGTTCTAGAGAAACTATGAGTCTCAACGGATCTCAACCCTCTATATATATATAAATATATATATATATAGATATATATATATATATAGATATATCTATATAATATATATATATATATATAAAGATTTATGCTTCGGTACACGTCGATAAGCTGGTTGCCTCCACCAATAAGATGGCTGCTGGGCGGCATTCTTAACTTATACGGCCATTAGAGGTGCTTCACACCGACTTGCCTTCACCTTCATTCAGCTCATTCCCTTTAACCAATTAGAAGCAAGCCACCGGCCCACCGCCACAGAAGACTTTGCGGTGGGTTTTGCTTCTAACTTTTACACCCGTTGTTTCTAGCGTTGCCACCCATCCTCATGGAACAAGATGTCACCTCCTGCTTAGTTTGGAGCACCAATGATGAGTCACTCTTTCTACTCCTTCCAGCTGACCGACACGGTTTTTCACCAACCTCCTATACCACCGCCTCTACCCTTCTTTTATTCTCACATCAATATTTTCTTTCTTTTGTTTGAAACATTCATCTTTCTTCTTCTTCTTCATGCCTCCGCCATGGCTCTCGACTAACCAAGATTTCAATCGGTGCCTCTTAACCATGGTACAATATTTGACACCCTTCCTCTGGGACAACTGACGTCGTCTGCTGAAAATGGTGTAATGTCAACTGATTGGATTTAAAATCGACATTGCCCTGTTGATGGTGTTCTTATCTTCTCAATTTGAGTGCTTCAATTGAACGAGAAAGGGACCTCCCTTTTCATCTCATGAACCGACTTGTCGCCTGTCAGGCTGTAGGTAATTTTTAATACCACATTCTCTAAAAAAGCCCTAATTTTTTTTCTTGGTGCCATACGGATTGCTTTCCTTTATTCCGAGTCAGCTGAGTGCCCCCCCCCCCCCCCCCCCCCCCCCTCCTCACGCTATACGGCCATATGATATTAACTAATCGATTTTGTTGAGTCAATAAATCGTGGTTACGATTCGATGTTCATCTTTTGGAGGCGACTCATTTCTGCTACCCAATTCAGGTCATTGTCTTTCAATTTTGGTCTGATTAATATGTATGAGAAATATGTAGTTATCTTTTCCTCTTGGTTAAGGTACCTCTTTGTTTCTTTATTATTTTTCGATTTTGGTAGTACTTGTTGATATTTTTAATTGGGGCAAATGAAATATTAAAATAGTAGAAGGTAAGGAATGATTTATGTTTGTTCTTCAATTTTGGTTCATGTCGAATGGTAGGGAGTCTAAGCGGTTTTCGTATTTCTGCTTCTTGGACATTTTTTCTATTATTTATCTGCTTTACTTTCTGGTGGTGTGTGCATAAAAGAATTATACATTTGAATTACCGTTACCCAATTTATAAGGTTGTAGTTTTAAGGATTTGAGATTGTGCAACATCAAAATTTTAGAACTGCTATGGCTGAAGATATGCGAGTGTACATACCAGATCTTATATTGTTGGTCTTTAGAAGGTAATACAAATTCCGGTCTTGACATAAAGGAAATCATGAAAGGAGAGGATTTGCAATTGTTAAAACTAAAATTAATGGTCTTGTCTTCACTATGAAGATTCTTAAAGGTTCATTTAATAATCTAATGGTATTTATTGATTACGTA